GAAAAGTTGGGGGTCCCACACAGAGGGTTTGAGGAAACAAAGAAAGCAACAGAGGGAGGTTTACACTTTCCTAAAGATATAAATAGGTTTTACACATCCTCCTAGACATGCAGGAAAAGCACAGGCTGAATGAAGTTAGAGGTAGATGAAAAGTGGATAAAACCCCACAAACTTTAAAGCACAGCGAGAAATGATCCATCCTGAATTTAGTGGCATGTGGTGCCTGGAAGATGGAACAGGACAGAATGCTCCAATTAAATCTGTACATTACACAGCCAAGAGCTACAGACACACTGACAGGTAGGATTAAATTCATCTAAAATCTGTGTAACTTGATGCACAAGTTTCTAAATCAGGGAGGAATAACGAAGTGCATGTTGCAAAACAAAAAAATCATCAGAGTGGGGATTAGAACCAGGCCCAGACACTGAGGCACAGCCAAAACCTGCCAACTGATACAGATTTTTCATTAAAATCACCCTATTTTCAGAATAGTTGGATGAGATCCTTTCCATCATTATTCTTCTCTTCCAGTAGCTGAGTATTTTGAGAAAATTAATGTACTAATTTTTGAGGCAGCTTAAAAGACAAGTCTCCACTTCAAGGCAGAATCCAAGACAGAAAATAATATCTGAGTATCTGCTCATTTGAATGTTCCCCTTGAGTTTTGTTGATACTTGTATGAGCTGAGATGTCCTTCAAAACTACAGAGCTCTGAGACCAACTGACCCCAAGAGGGCAGGTTAAGCTGATTCCCAGGAAATAGAAACCACCTTGAAAAAGTCTGATTTAGTCTATTTGTGGTACCAGGAGAGGATGGGGAATCTGGGTTCCATTCAGCCTCTTAGAAGGAACGTGAGCTTGTAACTCCAAATGTTTCTGCACCTGTAATTAAATGACAACAACAACATGTACATACATGTTGTACATCAGCCTCTACAAAACCACTGTGCCATGGAAATCAGAAAGTCCCTTCCCTGCTGCAGGTCAAGACTGTGTTTCAGTGCTTGGGGACATCAGAGTGATCTTAAATAAAGAAAAGAAGGTCAGTGTGAGCGTTTTCTTTTCAGGTCTGGGAAGGGTCTTTACAGTTTTGTTGAAAGTTACAGCTCCAGGCACCAAATATCAAAAACTTTGTTCCAAATGGCTAAATGTCTGTTGGAATCAGGGGGGAAAGAAAAACCCTAAAAAAAGAGAACACTGTTCTAGCAAGCATTAAGTAATCACCTTAATGGCACAAGCCACTGAATAAGCTGGATTTAAAGTCTCAGCAGAAAAGACAGCATTTACCATGGATGGGAAGAAAGGCCTGATCTGCAGGGACACTCTGGGAAAACATAACATTTATCAAAGAAAAGGAGGAGCTTTAGCTGGAGCAAGAGGATGCTCTAAACTGCAGCCAGGAGTAACCAAAGCCAGACTCCCTTCACACACAGCTTTACTACGAGCTGGATGGCACAGACATCCCAAAAGGCCTTGAAAAGGAGGAGGATTCCCTGGAAATAGGGCATTGTAGGGCTGTCCTTCAGAGAGAATGTGACTGCTGGGGTGAAGCTCCTTCTGAGGAAGTGCCACTGGTACCAGTGAGGCCTCATGGCACCAACAGGAGGGTCCCTTTTGCTTAAGGAGACCTTCCTCAGGCCTCATCCAGAGAAGGATTTAATTCCACTTGGCAGTCACAGGACCATCAGGAGTCAAGCATCAGTTGCTCTCCCCTGTGAGGGTGGGGAGGCCCTGGCACAGGTTGCCCAGAGAAGCTGTGGCTG